CGGGGCCGGGCAGCCTGGCGGGGGAGGCCTGGGCCAGCCCCTGGGGCCTACACGCTGGATCCTTGCCCCTCGCAGTCCCCCTCTCTGGGACCTAGGGACGAGCCCAGGGCACAGGCCGCGTTCAGGGTGAGCCTGAGCCCAGGCATGGCTTGTTACTCCTCTCTGTCCTCTCCTAACTGCCTCAGTGGCGTTTCCGGGGCAGCTCAGCCATGAGGGCGGCTGGGCTAAATGTGGATCTGGGCCCTTTGCAGGAGGTGCTGGGGGAGGATAAGCTCATGGCCATCCTGAAGGAGAGGGACGAGCCCAGGGCACAGGCCGCGTTCAGGGTGAGCCTGAGCCCAGGCATGGCTTGTTACTCCTCTCTGTCCTCTCCTAACTGCCTCAGTGGCGTTTCCGGGGCAGCTCAGCCATGAGGGCGGCTGGGCTAAATGTGGATCTGGGCCCTTTGCAGGAGGTGCTGGGGGAGGATAAGCTCATGGCCATCCTGAAGGAGCGAGAGCTGAAGATCTACTGGGGGACAGCCACCACCGGCAAGCCGCATGTGGCCTACTTCGTGCCGATGTCCAAGATCGCAGACTTCCTGAAGGCAGGATGCGAGGTACGTGGGCTGAATGGGAGCCTGGATCCCGGGGACTTTGTCATCGTGCTGCCTGGGTGGAAACGAGCAATTTTTCGGACCAGTATGGCTCCGAGTGTGACGTTCCAGCATCTCCCCGTCCCGTTCTATACTAGGTGACGATACTCTTCGCTGATCTCCATGCTTACTTAGACAACATGAAGGCCCCCTGGGAGCTGCTGGAGTTGCGTACCCGCTACTATGAGAACGTGATCAAAGCCATGCTGGAGAGCATTGGGGTGCCCCTGGAAAAGCTGAAGTTTGTCCGGGGCACTGACTACCAGCTCAGCAAGTGAGTCCCAGGCCACTTAGTCCTCTTGGGAAGGAAGAGCCTCGCATAGGGCTCTGGTGGGTCTAAGATTGCACCCCTGCTCCTGAGAGGAGCCAGCAGTGTGTCAGAAGTGTGATGTTTTGTTGTCTCACCACTTTGTCATTCAGGGAACCCAGTGAAGGTGTCTCCAGGTTTAGGCTACTCTTTGCACAGCCAGAACCACTTTTTGCATTAACCAGCTCTAAAAGATTTCCCGCTCCTTGGTGCTAGCAGTGCTAATGCCTGTCCCTCCCCACAGGGAGTACACGCTGGACGTGTACCGCCTCTCGTCCGTGGTCACACAGCACGACGCGAAGAAGGCAGGAGCCGAGGTGGTGAAGCAGGTGGAGCACCCCTTGCTGAGTGGTTTGCTCTACCCAGGCCTGCAGGTGTGTAGCGAGGCAGGCTGGCAGAGCCCCTTCGCCTGGGAGGTGCTGGGTGAAGCAGGGATGTGTGAGGCTGAAAGCCTGTGCCAAGGTCATTATACTCCACCCCAATATTATGTTTGGCAGCAGCACAAAGCACGGCTTTAGCACACACCTGCTTTTACAGCAGCTCCTGCCAGTTGAAGCAGGCAGTCCAGGAGCGCCGGTCCTGCCCAGGGCAGGAGTGCCAGGCAGGGGCTGGCAGATCCTGCAGGACAGGCAGGCTCTCCAAAGGCTGAGCACAGCTGGAGCGCGGAGTCTTAGGGCCAGGCTCAAGACTGGCTCTGCATGTCTCTTCACAGGCCCTGGACGAGGAGTACCTCAAGGTCGACGCACAGTTTGGAGGAGTTGATCAGAGGAAGATTTTCACCTTTGCAGAGAAGGTCAGGAGTAAGGGATGTTTCTGAACCTGGCACAGGGCTTGAACGCTTGCTAATCCGTTGGGAGAAGCACATCCGTGGTTTCACTTAACACTTCGCAGCTCCTCCTGCTGCTCTCGGAGTCTGCAGGGCTCCGGTGCCTGTGAAAGCTGTTGTGCTGCTCCTGACTGTAGCTGTCAGGGCCTTGTGATCCCGTGGTAGCTTTATGGGTCCTGTTACCAAGCTCAGGGTTATCCGGAACCAGGAGCAAGCAGGGATTGAGAGTTAAAGCTGATTTTCAGAAGAAGATCCTCCATAACTTGCTTCCTTGTTTTTCCCCAGTACCTCCCTTCTCTGGGCTATGCCAAGCGCGTCCATTTGATGAACCCAATGGTCCCTGGTCTAACAGGCAGCAAAATGAGCTCATCGGAA